TTATTTACTCAATCAGTTACACTGTGGTAAATTAAGTGCATTGCATGTCTTTGTATCATCATCTGTGTTTAGAAACATGCCATGTCAATGAAACATAAGATAAATTACTTTGGAGAACTTTATTCCCAACCTCCTGTCCTGACCCCCACTAGGGTTTACTAAAGCTTCATTGGAAATCATGAGGCCTTCTTAATTATAAGGTTGTAAGAAAACTCTCTTTTAAAATATATAGTTGGCCGATATCATGCATTTCATCCATTTCTGTGAAGAAAAACTAAGTGAAATTAGAATTAGTGGCATTTAAATGTCACTCACTTGTCTTTCAGTTTATTTTACAGAAACTATGACCACCAAAGTATAACTCATTCAGATTTGCCCATGGTAAAAAAAGCACGACTCCCAACTATTGAAGCAGTCTTAAAGTTCTTACCATAATGTGTCTGTCCCTCGATTACTTATATTCCAATTTTTATTATAAGGGATGAAAAGAATCAAGAGTTTCATTAAAGTTAGAGTTGTGTAAAGTACTTAATCAGAATTTTTGTTTATGTATCTTATCTCAAATTAGTGAAAAACTAGTAAAAATTCTAAATAGTAAAATTTCTAGTAAAACTGTTTAATCAAGAATGTTTTTAACATACAAAACTGAGTTAGTGTTACTTAAAAATTTCGATGTAATCAGTTTCAACAATTGTTTTGAGTTAAATTAACTTTTAGTTTTGTATTGACTTTTTTACAGTCAATATTTAAAAGATAATTTAATATTTTAAAATGTATTCACATTGTACGCAAGTACAAATCTATAATTCTATAAGAGGCAATGCATTCCTTCAGACAAAACAAATGAATCAATCAAACCATATTGTTGTATTGTTTTTTCGGACATTTGCAGGATTTTAAGTAAATATTTCCAAAACATACAACTTTTAAATCAAGTGTGGGTTCATTATAAAAATGGCTGGTGTCAGACCTCAATATTGCAATAGCAACTAAAATTCCGTGGTTGAGGGATTCTGTGTACAATGACAAGCTGAACCTTGAACACTGTAGTAGCCTAAGGAAAAAAAAGAACTAACTGCAGATGGTTAGTGTCAGTGGCCGCTTTAGAACTGGGGAAAAACTGATCCAGTGCCATCCACCCTTCAGGTCAACTGTAAGCCTGCTTTCAAGTTAATTATTATACTGAATTATCATTGCAACTTCCTATTTCTATTGTGTGAATAACGGATGAAGCTGGAAATTCACATGCAATATTCGGAATTGTACTATTATTTAGAAGAGTCACACTGGTCCTCCAGTAAAAACACTTCCCTTTCCTATAATTGTATAATACGCAATGCATTAAATCGGTTACAGTTTCAATGGCAGGATATTAGTTAACAGGGAGTCCATGTTATTGTTTTAAATATTTTATTTATGCAGGTCAGACTCACAAAACGGCAATACAATTCAAATTGTAAATTTGTCCATCAAAAGTGTGTAAAATCAGTTACTATAGCAATTTCATTGTATTGTCAATTGATTCATGTTTTAAAAAAATGTCAGCAAGACCAAGTGTAGAATTGACCCACGCTTTCTGTAAGTCCATTCAGTCAAAATCTCAACTATTGTCCAGCTTACCCAAACCAAGCTATTCTGAGGGATTCTTAAATTTCAATAAACATTTTTCCCAGAAGCCAACCAATGGTCTCTGAATCCTTTCGGATTTGAACACCACAGCCAATGTTTCAAATTGCTGGTATTGCCTATATACACACTTTCTGTAACTTGGCTTTATTTCCCAGCAGACACTGGTGATTATGGGTCGCAGATTTACAGCTGAATGGGTAGTTGTTGTTGTGTGTACAGGCAATGAGTGAAAAGCACTTAACTAACCAACATGGCAAGTTACGTAAATGATCAAAGTTCTCACTAACCTGTGTAGTAAATAACTAGTAATATTCACCTATAAAAGTTGCATGTGAGCATGTGCTGTCTGCTCTACTTCAGTAGTCCTGAGAGCCCTTGACTTACCTGTTGACTCTGAAGGTCTCCCGCAGCCTCTGACGTCATCTCCCCCCAGATTCAAGGTAAACTAGTCTTAGCTGTGAAATCTCACCTGGTTACGTTTGGCTGGAGTGTGTTAGGCCCTTCTTCACTTAAACTCTGACGTGAGCAAGTTTCAGTTGTCAGTGAAGGGGACAAGCTACAAGGTACGCTGATGCATGATAAAAGCTGTAGCATTTCAGACAAGACCAGAGAGGAGACATTTCTTTAATCAGCGTGACGGTTTTAACAAGTTTGTTTAGCGTGATTTCATTAATAAAGAGGATCATTAAATATAGGAGCTGATTTTTTTTTTTTTCGAGAGAGACCCTAGCAGAGTATGCGAATCAATTCAAGCGGTTACACTGATGAGGTGCTTTAGCGCTGGGCATGATTTTGAGCACATCTGTGAACAGTACTGCACAAATCCGTTTATTAAAAACAAGTTCGACAATGGAAAGGTACATGTGAACGCCTTGCGGTAACTGTTCTATTAACAGTTACTTTCTACATTTGTCAAACCCCTACGTCTTAGCAGTTTTAAGTTTTCACAGCAACGCCACATGAAGGTTTGGTTTTTTTTTTTCGATGGATAACATGATGGAATCAACGTGCAGATTAGATTTAATACCAAACAATCAGTTCAGTTAAATCTACAGTCACAAGTATCGCCTAGAAAACTGCTGCTGAAATTCTTCAGCTCTCTAAGGTCACACACAACATCAGAACACTAGTTATTCAAAACGTAAAAGTACAAATTAAAAGAAAAGAAAACGCCTAACTCAGACGTCAAGCATTTAAAAATACTACAGCACAATAACAAACTAAAACAATCAGGGCAAAAAAAATGCGAGTGTAAAACCTGTCCCAAAATAATAAAAACATAAACAGACGTGGACGTCGGCAATTCAGTTCCTCCTGTGAGCGTCGCAGGCGAACGTAACGCGCTCAGCCACAGACAGGAAGAGGATAGTGTCACGTGCATCAGGAGGCGGCGAGCGGCGACGCAGTCGGACGACAATCCTGAAAAAAGAGCAAATGACACACATGAACTGTCTGCAACTGTGGATACAAAGCACGTTGTTCCATCTTATCTACATGGTTTTTTTTTTTCGAGTTGTGCATCTCGAGTCCCGTTCAACAGTCGTCCTTTGTCGGATTGTGCCACACATTTAAAACTGATAGCAACTGAAAACTCAAGTTAGTGCACAGACGTGCTTTACCAACGAATTTTACACCTTGTTGAACAGCACTTCGTACGCATGCTTTTCCCACACAAGCTGTAGAACAAGCTGCCTCTGCCTTTACAGGGACGAATGGCAATTTTAGAAAAGACATGAACACCAGTCTACCTGAGACCTATTCTCACCTTCACATGCCAGGGCCTTGCTTAATAAGCGTAGCGTGCAGGCGGTGGCGGAGGCAGACGTTCTGCGTAGGGGTCCCTTGCGCGTGGAACTCCGTATGCAGGGACCCGGGAAACCGGAGAGAGTCGGGAGCGCTCGTAGGAGTAGCCATTACTGGCGGGGGGCATTGGCGCGCTAGGTGCTCTCCTGAGGGGGCTGCGATCTCGGCTGTAGTACGGGGACGGAGGAGGTGGGAGGGGGCGACGCTCATACGGGTCGAGCGACGAGGGCATAAGGCGGTCTCGGACGACGGCTGAGGGGGGAGGGGGAGGAGGAGGGGCGCCAGCACGTTGGTCCTCGTAGGAGGCGATGCCATACGGACGGGCTCTGTACTTCTCATAGTAATCTACCACGCCATACCTGTCCCTCTCACCCTCATAGGGACGGTCAGGATAAACAGCTCGTCTAGGGGGCGGGGGTGGCAGAGGAGGGGCAGGGTAACCTGGGGGAATATGGCTGAGGCGGCCTCGCAGGTAGCTGGGTGGGGGAGGCTCGTGCCTCTCTCCTGGATAGCGCGGAGGCCAATAGCCACCCCTGTCTGGGGGAGGAGGGGGGTAGTCGTCCCGTTCGTCATGTCTTGGGCGGCTCTTAGAAATCTGGACATGGATGCGTTTGCCTACATACAAAAAAATATGGATAGAGAAAATACAAATGAAATAATTGGGTTCCAAATGAGACACAAAGTCTCAACTACATCTCTACTCGTTTTACATAATGGCCTTTACCTACCTTGAAATTCACTGTTGTCCAGACCCTGGATGGCATCCATGGCCTCGTCCGAGTTGGACATGTGTACAAAGGCAAAATTCTTAACAACAGCGCACTCTGTGACTGTGCCGTACTCTTCAAAAAGAGCACGGAGCTCGTCATCAGCTCCCTTTTCAACATTGGCTACATGCAGTTTGACTGAACCCTGGTTCTTCCCATGGCTGGCCTCCACGTTGATTGGTGTGCCGTGAAGCTTGTGTAGGTGCAGGTTCTTGATGGCTTTGGTGGCGGCCTTACGGTCATCCATGTGAACGAAGGCGTAGTTCTTGATGATGGCACACTCTGTGACTGTGCCATACTGTGTAAAAAGTGCCTTGATTTCATCCTGGTCCGCCTCCCGGGGCAGGTTCCCCACAAATATCTTCACCATTTCTTTCTCTGTTTTAGAGCAAAAAATAAATAAAATTTAAATTAATATTAATTAAAACAAAATATTTAATAAAATGTTAAACCATATAACGCACACACACACATATATAATGTTAAACTACGACGTTAAGTATGCCTACGTATTTATTCTGTATGCTGCAGTCCGAGCTGTTAAACGGGCCTGTTCACTGCAAAATGGCTGACGCCAGTTTAACTATCACTAAAGTCAACTAATGCTATAATGCCATAATCGTCATTTTTCATACATTACCAAACATATTTTAACAATTAATCGTTTCTCTTAGACGTGTTGCTATAAAGCTATCGTGTTAATTACCAGCTTCCTAAGGTTACATATTCTAGGCCTTGGTTTAGCACATCTGCTAGGCTAGCGCTAACCGATAGCTCCGCTACTACACAAAGCACCTGGTGTTCATGTCCACATTACCAGAAAGAAAGAGCGGCGAGCCGGCACACGCAAACTCGCAGGTTAGTAGATCTTTCGCACATTTAAAATGCCGCGAACTGTAAATATAAAGACACCGGAGTGTGCCTTTTAGGTTACCTTTTTACCGGGCGGCCTCGACGACGGACTCAAACCGATTCAAACCCTTTTCGAGAGCTTTCCTAGCCTACTTCCGCTTGGTTTTTGTCCGTCTTTACCCCTTCTTCTTCTTCTTCTTTTACGTCTGCGTCGCCGTATCACAAGCACACCGCCACCTACAGTCCAGGAAGGTGTAGTAACATCAGCAAACCTTTAGCTTTTTATACAAATTTTGATTATTATTATATTAAATATGTTCTACCATGTCCTGACGTTAACTACAGGTCAGTATATCGGGTATTATTCTCCTCAATTCTTAAAAATGAGGCCCCTCGGCAGGTCATTTTATCTTACCGCTGTTTGGAAACAATGTTGGTCCAATGTGAAAGTACGTGACTCCCTTTCTGTTTCAGGTTGCGTCATCTGGGACTTTTAGTGCTGTAATGCTGCGTTCAGGTGCCCATCTTAAAATTGTATGTTAGAAAACAGCAATCCATTCATGAAATATTTGATCAGAAAAGTAAAAAAACAAAAACAAATTGTAACAAAGAAGCCAAGGTGGCATCTTCATGTTGCTTTTATTGTCTGACTGACAGTCTGTAACACAAACATATTCAGTTTAGTAGGATATAAAACACACAAAAAAGTGGCAAATCATCATATATGATAATAATTTGTAATCGAAATGGTTGTTGTTTAATTCTTTGTTAATAAAGTAACCAATTCATTGTTTAAGCACTTCAGTAGAATCAATGACCTGGTGTGGAAAAAATGGTTTCAAATGATTTATTGGTCAAAAATAATTGTATATACTGTGGTCCGCTTGGTGGCAAATCACTGTGCTTGACTGACTAATTCAAATTAAATAAAAATGCAGACTTTTGCTTTCTGTTCACCACAGCTTAACCACTGACTGCTGTTGTTTTTCCGAATTTCCACTTGAAAGCAGCATTGTTGCCACAGGGTCTTGTGGGAGTGACTAACTGAAGTCTTTCACTCAGCACAAACACAGTTAGTTAGTTCCTTCTGAAGGCTTAGTGTAGCTGATCCTGCACCTCTGTGGACTATCTGAACCTTCAAGTTAAAAACTCGAGCATACAGGTAAGGCACACTCACCTAACAACAGGAATTCATCTGTTACTTAAGGTTGTGACTGGTAAAACAACAACTTTCATTGGTTTCCTCATAGGTTTGTTTGCATTCTGTCCCAACAGCCTTTCATCCCTGAAGGTCAGTAAGTCAATTCACCCTCTACCAGCTTCATCATGAATGTGTCCCAGACATTGGAGACAGAGGAGGATCTCCTAACTTGTCTCCACATCAAGCTTTACCACCCTCAGCAGAGTTGTAAGGGCCTTTACGGGCTGCTTCCTCTGGAGAAAAGGAGCAGGTTCTCAGCAGATGACCCTCTCAGGCTGGGACGTGACGCCCAGGCATGCACCTTCGCCCTGGCCGACGTCCGGGTGTCCCGGAAACAGCTGGCCCTTCACGCCTACCGCACGCCCCAGAGCCCGGACATGCTTTTCACCATCCAGAACTTGAGCCAGAGGGGACGGCTGTCAGTGAACAGCTCGGCCCTGGGCTACCTGGAAAGGATGGACCTCCCGGACAAGGCCCTGATCCGGTTCGGAGAGTATGAGATGCTGATCATCCGTGAGTCTGGTGAGGCCAAGGGGAGCTTTGAGGTGGAGTTTGAGGTGCTGGCAGTGTCTCCGTCCAGAGAGACATGCATGTGTGTGCCCAGTATGACACCCGTCATGGACACAGGCTCTGGTGCGATGAGAAGTTTACCAGCTGAACTCAGAGACCTCGGCCCTCTGGAGACTGATGAGACTCTCATGTGTCAGTCATGATGAACTATGACTGCTCAGTGAGATACTTTTTTTTACTTTCTTACCTCTGACTTGTATTTGAAGGCAACACAAAGTACTGTGTAGTTGTTACATTAGATTTTAAGCTTTTGTTTAGATAAGATCCCTCTTTGTAATGTGAAATCATAGTATTACTCTTTTTTTCTACGTATACGTATTATGTATCTATAACTCTGTGTCTACACATGAAAAAGCTGTGATTTTAATATAAGAACACCTGGTTTTAGTGTGTTCTAAATACTAGCTATTTCTTTCTATATATTCAACCTGACCGCATTAAATACTCTTTTTGTAACATGTTTTTTGTGAATGCTGTTGTTGTTAAATAGTTTCTCAGCCATAGTATCATCATCATAGTATCTAACATTCTAACATTTTTCCAGATTTACTTGAGATAAAGTAAATATTCTTACCCTGCATGCTTGAGCTCAGATTACAGTGATAAGGCGAGGGAGACAAAACAAAAAAACAGGAACAAAAGGCACACATCTCTCTTCTTGGTATCACATTCTTGGAAACTGATGCAATTTCACAGCACAGTTTCACTTAGTGGTGCTTCAACATGTATCCAAGTATTCTTTTACTTACAGGAAGTAAAAAAATCAGTTCAATAATATAAAATTATGCCGCTCCAAGTGAAAGCTCTGCATTCAACATTTCCCCCACAAACGATCAGCAAAATACAGTGAAAACTATCAAAAGTAGAGGTGCTTGTTATGCATTTGCCTAGTGTTATATTATTATGTAATCTACAGCTTGAGGAAAATATAGCTGTCAAGTAAATTAAGTATTTCCCTCAGAAATGTAGTGGTATTAAGTATTAAGTAGAATATAAAGGCAATACCAGAGTACAAGTACCTTTCAATTGTAATAAAGTAAAGTAGTCAAGTAAATGTGCTTAGTTCTCTGCTCAGCATAGCATGATAGGACAAAAAACATACAGATGCAACAGTGAGACAGTGCATCATCGTGAAACTGGATTTGGGTAATAACGGAATGTGGTGCTTAGCTGGCCCTAAAGCTATAACCAACATGAGTCAAAGGTAGAGACAAACTGTTCCGATATCCTGTCTGGGTCTGGTCCAGAAACTGCTATTTTATAATAGTCTTAGAACAAAGTCCAGTCTGGCTGGAGAATCACAATCTTACTATATTGAGTGTATGTGTGTGTAAGTGTAATATGAGAACGCAGTGACATTGTGGTAAACAACAGCTGACTACAGGAATGATGAGTACTAGGGTCATAAAGGTTTGGAATGTGAATCCTATAAAACAACTTCTGGTCAACATAATGAAACTCTAACCACCGCCCGTGATTTCTCGACACTCAGAGTTGAGGAGGAAACTTTATTTCAACTGATATGACTTCCGTCATATAAAACCAAATCCAAAAAGGGGGAAGAGAGACTTACACTCCTCACTCCAAATAACACAACTATACTATTGATACATCCATGGCTTATCCCAGTCTGCCCAGTGCATGCTGGGATAAGATGTGGTCGCTGTAATCCCTAAGTAAATACAGAAAGCACATTTTCAAAAGATATATTTAGTTTGTTTTCTCACTTATCAAGAGACACAGCATCCCGCTAGTCATAGCTGAATAAGCACATCTGCAATTTTATCAGGAAAAAGGACATTGTTAATCTTATGATAAATCAAGTGACACTGACTGAAAGTGATAAAAATAGTGAATTATTGCCATGTGATGAATTTAAGAGTCTTTAGTCCCACAGCCACACCCTGCACATTGAGGGGAATCTGTTTGCTGCCCACATACGTATTTCAAAATCAGAATCTTTTACACTTTAACCAGAGAGAGCTTGTGTCATATTAGGACAGGGTTCAGCAACCTTTACTAACAAAAGAGCCATTTTTGGCCAGAAATAAAGAAAAACCTGTCTGGAACACAAAACAGATTTAGGCCTTATAATACTCATTTCTTGCCACAGATCAATTAATTACTATACATTCTTACAGTTGGAGAATGTAAGAATAACTTGATACGACAAAGATAAATAAAAATGTTACTTCTCTTTATTTATTTATTTAGTCAAAGTCACTGCATCATTCTAGTCACAATAAGCCAGCTGGGAATAACAGCAAAGACTCCAGCTATGGAATATGTACTTGGAAACCCTTTGCCTCAGCCCCTAACAGACTTTAAGAGTAATTTATAATTCTTAATGTTTTTAAAAAGGCAAATCTGTTTGAATAAGACGGATGTCAATCCATTCAGACATTGAGGAAAAGGTCTTTATTGACGTTAGTTTATCGTTTAAACTTGTCATACTGGAAAGACAGTGTAAAAAGTACACATCCATATTAAAAAAAGAAAATTTATAAAATTGTTTATTGACAATAAAGTAGTGCAAATATTGTATGCAAATGCCTATATACATTAGCCTACAGTATATCTGTATAAAATAGGTGTAGGTTCTTCAATAGTACTTTATAGGCATGGATATAAAAATAATAGCAAAACAGAATGTTTAACAGTGGTATAAAAGCTCATGTAATGGTTTCAAGAACACATTTCAGGACATATGGACTGTATCAAAATCCAGCCACAACTGTTATACTATATGGTTTAATCCATATCTCCTCTTTTGGAGTCATCAGCTGGAGAGAACAACAATGCAACCACGCAGGTTTTCCAAGGATTGGATCTTTCCCTCCAGCTCACCAAACAATGGAGCCAACTTTCACTGAAGGACCACATGCTCTTCCTGTAAAAACAACAGACTTTATTCAAAGCTCACAAAAAATAGATGTCTTATGGACTTCACAGTGAACTCATACTGCTTTACCTTTTAACACTGGACCGCCTGATTCCATCTTATAACACTCAGAGACGACAAACTCCTGGGAACTCACTCGAGACCCGTTACTGTTGTCGGAGTGGAGACGAGCCTGTAGACAAAGAGACGGTCAGCGGTCAATGATGAAGCAAACATTTTCAGAATTTCTCCGTTAACTCATACCTATGTTGCATTACCACATTTTATAATATAACCCAATTAAAAATAAGCACCAACTAGATTCCCACAACTATAATTTACTGAACGAATTCACACCTTTTTCCCTTTCTCAGATGCTTGAGAGCAAATGTATTATTTGACCCCAGTGAATCTAATATAATGGATGCTACTGTTCCACATTTACCAACTAATTAAAAAAAAAGTACATCAACCTCAAGTATGTGCTTTACTAATTTAAAAAAAAAACATGGATAATGTATTAAAACGTAAAGAAGTGTCTTTCTTTTTTCCTCCAAGTATTGAAAAGCTTCCTTTAAAAATGTTCAAGGCTCCCAGACTGCTTTTTTTTTTTAACATAATGCAGTATGCATGCAACACCACAAGAGGGAGGCAGGAGACAGGTTATTGCATTGGTGAGAGTTGTACAATACATACCTCTTCTTCACAGGCTGCTGCACATCTTCCCAGAATGACTTACCATGAGCTGCCACCTCCTGCATAGAGTCTAACAACCTACAAAGAGCACAAATACTAAGAATACCAAGACTGCATGCAATTTGTGGTACACACTTATAAATGCTGACTTACAACAATAATGGAGAGTGCGACTAATATGTAGTGTGAAATGATGAATGCGAATGTAAGACTACAGAGCTATCGTCGCAAGACGACAGAAACATGGGCCACCGCAAAGCTCAGTTAATTACTGTTCTACTACTAGGAAAACCACTAACTGGCTCGACACAAGGTAGGCAATGGACGGCGGTCGTTGAGGAAAGATGCGGCTCCCCGTGCGCCAGGTGCAACACGCAGCAGCAGATGGACGCAGTGTAACATCGAGTGTGGCCACAGAAGAAGAACACAAGAAGCATACGTTATAGTGAAATTTGTTTGGCTATTATTTAAATCACTCCTGGGTTTGTGGACAGCTACTGATGTCATTAGTTGGATTAACTTTGAGGGTCTTCGAGGGGAAGTCGGACTCTGTTTACTTTTGCATACATGTAGTTTACACTGGCAGTGACTCAAGAAAACACAAATGAATTTATTCTACGTCAAGTCGCCATTATCAGGGAACTGACGCTCAGAAACTACTTTTTTTTCGCTTCAACACAAGATTTGAGTGGAAAGCAGGTTGGGTGTTGCTTCTCACATGTTTTGGTGCATTTTCACTTGAAATGAACAGTTGATAAGTTAGGCAGAGAGAAAACATCGCCTACCATGTGTCAAGCTGATAACTCTGAAGGGTGTGAAAATTAAACTGGAAGCGTGTCAAGACTTAAAAACGCCTGTCTATTACTACCAATATCAGGTCTGGTGAATAGTGTCTGTCCAGTCATTGGAGTAAAAGGCCTACCAAACGAGGAATAATTTCACAGTTAAAACGTCGTTTTTGGTTTCATTTGTTTATTAAAAAGCCTTCAAATGAAAAGCAACTTGTAAAGTAAATAAAATCATACATAACGGTGCTATAGATTCTATTTTCGCAAGAAAAAAGGTAACACAAAGTGTAAAAAGAAAACCACACTGGAACTTCTGATTTGTCATGCTAACATGTGTCGCAAATCTTAGAGATTTCTGTACAACCTGCCACACCAAGTATTATATTAAAGCACCTCTACACTGACAATTTTTTTTTTTTAAACTTAATTTGATGAGCACTGGATGTCATCAACCAACAATCTTAAGTCTGAACACAATAATTTTGTTTACAAAGACTACATATATTTTCATTTAAATGACTTCCCTTGTTATGAAATTATGTCACAGTTTCCCAGAGGCCATATCCATTTAGAAAGATTGAAGAGCAGAGTCAGTCTATTTGGCCATTAACAGTACTGTGTCACACTGAAAGAGACTAAGCAGCTATTCTGCAAAACATTTTTTAAGGATTTGAACAGTAAAACAAGCAGAGGAACAAAAAAGGCATGAACAGCTCAGAAGAATACGTGAACTGTAGACATGGTATCGTATGTTTTTAAGTACGGGGGCTGTCCGCAATACAGTATCTTCCAGTAAGTCTCAGGCGAACGCAACGCAATCCGCCATAGACGAGGGGAATGCATAGCGCCACGTGCATCAGCAGACAACGACGATCTTGTCATATTCTAAACCTGGAAAGAGAGCACACCACACATGTCAAGGAGCGCGTTTTACTCAGGATTCGCGCAAGGCTGATCTTTGATGTTAAAGCAGCAATATTTTAGGATTATATATTGATCTGTTGTCTGGACTAGATCTGCAGGAATTAAGAGCTCTGGCTGATGGAGATGGTTTAAAGCGCCGTTCAACTAAAATTCATCTCGGCACATATTTCTTGAATATTTTATCAATCATGCCTGCAATGTGATTTAGGATGGCGTGAAATATCCACTCTCTGTTCTCACCTTCCTTCTATTACACTCCTGTGTGCTTAATAGCCTGCATATCGAGGTGGTGGAGGCGGCAGCGGCGGCATCCTCTCTGAGAAGGAGTCCCTGGGGCGGGGGACGCCATACATCGGGGGCCTGGACACCGGGGACAGGCGGGACCGCTCGTAGGAGTACCCATTACCTGCTGATGGAGCAGGTGGAGGGGGGGCTCGTCTGAGGGGGCTTCGGTCCCTGACCATGTAGGGCGGAGGGGGAGGAGGAGGGGGGCGCTCGTACGGGTCAAGGGGCCCCATTCCGAGACGTTCTCTAACCAGTGCTGAGGGGGGAGGCGGAGGAGGGGGGATGGCGCCGGAGCGCCGGTCGTCGTAGCCTGCCGCGCTGAAAGGACGGGCTCTGAATTTCTCATAGTAATCGACCACCCCATAGCCGTCTCGCTCGCCATAACCACGGTCGGGATAAGCCGCTCGTCTCGGGGGAGGAGGAGGAGGGGGCGGAGGAGGGTAAGCAGGCATGCGGCCCCTGAAGGGAGGCTCGGGCCTCTCCATTGGGAAGCGAGGAGGATAAAAGCCTCCTCTGCCCGGCGGAGGTGGATAGTCCTCCTCCTCTGGTGCCCCCCTGGGTCTGCTTTTTGATACCTGAACATGTATGCGCTTTCCTGAGAGAGAGAAAAACATTGTCCCTCAAATCTAAAAGGCTGAAACACAAACAGTATGGACACCCCAACACCTTCCAATCCTTCCGTTCACACAGTGGAACACCGAACGTACTTACCTTGAAACTCTGAGTTGTCCAGGCCCTGTAGGGCGTCCATGGCCTCCTCCGAATTGAGCATGTGCACGAAGGCAAAGTTCTTGACAATGGAACACTCTGTGACCGTGCCGTACTCTTCAAACAGCTCACGGAGCTCCTTATCGAAGCCCCTTTCCACGTTGGCTATGTGGAGCTTCACGGGGCCCTGGTTCTTCCCCCTGCTGGGCTCCACGTTGATGGGTCTGCCATTCAGCTTGTAGAGGTGGAGCTCCCGGATGGCTTTGGTGGCCGACTTGCGGTCTTCCATATGGACAAAGGCATAGTTCTTATACTTGGCACACTCGGTCACTGTGCCATACTGGGTGAACAGAGCCTCCACTTCATCCTTGGTGGCGTGCTGGGACAGGTTCCCAATGAAAATCTTCACCATCGTTGCCCCAGTGTACTTCTCTAAAAGGAGGTAAAGACAGGATGAGTTCACACAGCACCCAGTGACAGAGAGTAACCAGTGACAGAGCAAATGGTGAATGCATAACGTCATTATCAGGAAATAGAAAGTCAGGCTGACGGCCACCGGAGCTCAACTGTCACCAAGCAGCACGGCTACTTCTCTACTTTAACTTTAGGTTGTGCCATTAGTCTGAAAACTACACGACTTCAATACAGCTGACTTTAAAAAAAAAAAAAGAGTCGACTAAGTTTCCGTGTTTGCACTTCCTGGTCAGTGAGCTGCTAGCCATGCTCGCTTTATTTGAATGGTTGTTGTTAGCAAGCTAACTTTAGCTACCAGGTGTTAGGGTTCGCCGTTTTGTCTCGTGACAGAGCCAAATAAAACTCATTTCATTACTTTAATATTGTGTGTGGTTATATCTTAAGACACGTGAACGCTCCACTGAGCACGAACACAAGAGAAACGAGTACAGAACACAGATGACAATACTCACAGCCTGCGATCGGCGCCACAGCGAAGTCGAAACTAAAGATAAGATGTAACGTTAGTGGATAGCCAGTTAGCGAAAGGCGCACAAGTAGGAATCTGATTGGTGGATAGGCGTGCTTCTCAAAAAATACGGACTGTGATTGGTTAAAGGTGTGAAGGAAAGTTTTACCCGGAACAGGGTTTTCTCAGCGTTGGTGTTGAGGTATGGCGACTGTAAGTGAGCTCCCACCTGTAGATAAACCTAAAGACTCCTCCGTGTACAGCATGTTGGGACAATAGAGTGGGAAACCGAGCTACAAACTGTAACCCTCTGAACGTACGGACGGTGCATTGACACATTCTGAATGTAGTTAAGTGTTTTATTAGTAGCTCTGGTGTGAGGGGATGAATGGCATGTTGTGAAACATAATGAGCTGTTCCATGTTTAATATGCAATATGTCATTTGCATTAACAGGGAGTAAAGAAAGGGAAACAGCAGTGAAAAGCTTTAGAACCCTCTTTAAGGGGCTATCCTTAATATGTATGTATAACCTGATAAGTGATATAATCCCCAGGAGGACGGATACACTGATTTTAAAATGGGTTCATTCATGGCTTCACATGTATATATAATAATATATATTATTATGTATATTATATTTACAACCCCTCTTCTTTTTATTTGTGCATTATGAAACACATTTATCTTTAGTCACCCAGGTTATTTCTCCCATAGAGCCCATAGACTCATGGTTGCTCATTGATGGTTTAACTTCAAAGCTGTTCATTGAACATTACTCACACAAGAAAGCCACCAAGAAGATGATGTTCATGCATATATAATGGAAATGTCTATTTGTCTTACCCAATATTACAAATAACTCAAAGTGCTTTATCCGTTCCTCAAACACTGCTTGCTGTATGGAGACTTGGGTGGCAGGATTCTGGGAGGAACAAGGGCCTCTGGGATTTGTGTTTCCTCCTGGAACCTCTCCGATGTATCCCAAAAAGCAAAAGTAAAAAAAGATATTTTCTAGCAGTTCATCCAGCAAGTCCAGTGGATGTGACTACAACAGTAAATGTCCAGTAGAGGGAGACACACGCTCACAGAAGGGAAGTCAGGAGGAGACAGGGTTAATGGGGTTTCCTTTACTGCAGCATCCTCCTAAATTATTTATCAACCAGCACACTAACATTTTTCAGTTTCAAATTAATCTCTAGCTCCCAGCTGTGGAGGAAGTATTCAGATCCTTTACTTGAGTAAAAGTACTAATACCACACAGCAAAAATACGTAAGTATTATCAGCAAACTGTACTTAAAGTATGAAAAGGCACTCATTGTGTAGTAAAATAAGTGTTTTATTATTATTACGATTATTATTGGATTCATATTACTGCTGCATGCAATGTGTATGTTGTATTAAGGTTGACTTCATTTTAGCTACTTATATACTGTTGGGTGGTTTAATCTACAGCAATGCATCACATATTAAATGAGATCATCATGTGTTAGTAGCATAGCCGTCCTGTGAGAACCATGTATCTCTGAAAGTCAACCTCTCTTAATACAGACAACCCTGTTTCAGCTTTGTGACAATGCATTTTCCAGCTCATCCAAGAGGGGGTTTAAACCATTTATTTAACTTAAGAAGTATGAGAATTTTCTCAACCCATAAAGGAGTATTAAACCTTCAAAATCACTACCTTTGGAGATAGATGTTTTTCACTGGATAGGAAGGGTGTGAAAAATTGTCATTTGAAAAGTAACTAAAGCTGTCGGACAAGTGTAGTGGAGTAAAAAGTACAATATGTGCCTCAGAGATATAGTGGAGGGGATGTATAAGGTTGTGTAAAATGGAAATACTCAAGTAAAATACAAGTACTTTGAGTTTGTACTTAAGCACAGTACTTGAGTACCTGCCTGCTCCCCAGTAACAGTTCTACACTGCGTAATCTGTTGATGTTCAGCAAGTGAGTGACCATGTGTCTCAACTTGAGCCCCAAGCTATAAAACTGTTAGTCTACGATGGAATCATATACAGTACCAGTCACCAGGCAACAGAAATTAAAACAACTTAAGACACTAAAGACTTAATTAAAAAAAAAAGTAGTCAACTATCTTGTCAGGCTTCTTGCAGACTGCATCAGATCTCCCAGTATTTTGCTACATTCACGTACCCGCCGCCCTCACAGGTTTTTATTACACGGACTGGCACCCTCACAGCAGGATGCTGCACCCACCGTGCTTCACGAGGATGCCGTCTTTCTGATGATGCGCTGGCAGCATTTAATACGATGGCCAGAAAGCACACGTGTGTTCTCGTCTGAGCCACGCAGCCCCGGAGCTCCAGAGCTCACAGTCCTCCTATGCCTGATTGGCATGTTACACTAACTTTTCACAGGTTTATTTAGAATGATCCTTTATTAGTTTTTGCCTGGAAAAGAGTTTTCTGTCAAAAAATAGAACTAGTTAAAAAAAGAACTGAAATGAAACAAAGTCCAAGGTGGAGCAAATACTGACAGATGCTGTACATGTGCCTGTGCTCAGGGTTAACATCATTTACAGGTTGATACATTCACTAAAGAGAGCAAGATGCACCATGTGTGACTCTGTGGGTCCAGAAACAGTGAAACAGCAAGCTGCTGAGTCAGCGTGTACCTTTTGATTCATACCAAAAGTAGAGTTACATTACAAAACAACAAGTCTTAACAGTAAATATAAAAGGAAATGAGTCTTTAACACCATAAAAGATTTTAGCAGAGGCCTATTCACAGCTAGAACGGTTACACAAGAGTAAAGCACCGCTAAATGCTAAAGATAACAGTAATAGCTGGACTTCACTGATGCATCTATGAACTCAAAATTAGGATTGCTTAAAATAGCTTGAGACAAATTTAACACTGGTGACGCAGTTGTTTTCCTAACCAAGTCATTTTGAATTGCTTCAGCAGTAGAACAGATACATTACAGAATATACAAGCTTCACTTTACACTTTCTCTGGCTGCTGTGTGAGTTTGGGCGGATATTCCACACAAAAAAAAGAACAAACTGTTCAGGAAAAGTGTATACCAAACAATGAAAAGTCCTTTATTGCCATCAGAACATGAGTGAGAAAACCAGAGACAAAATCTGACAGAGTGGAGTCGACTGTACAACCAGCATCCACACAGACGCACACAAACACGCGCACACACACACACACACAGCGGCCAGCAGTCTTTCAACAGGACGCGAGGGGCACAGATACATAAGGAAATACAGTACTCACACAATGAGGTATAAAGGTAAACACAAACATACCAGATAGGGCTTCGTCCTCCACTCGCACACATGCGACTGAACCAAGGTACAAATACTCAAGTGCTCGTTCATCCTTTAAAAACACAACATACAGGCGAGCAGAAATGTATAAGAGCAGCATCTGGGTCATCTCGATTCAACCACACTCCCATTCATCTGTCTCTCAAAACCTTTGGTCATGTGGACGCTTGCTTGTCATGCACAATGTTGCCCATGTAATTTAATACTTTTGTGAGACTCGGAAACTTGTGAGCGGAGGAACGGGGTCCCTTCCTGACTCGCATCCGCCGACAGAAACTGGGACAGTTCTGGGCAGATGAGCAGGGGAGGGGGGGGTGGGAAATGTTTTTTTTTTTTCCTTTTTCTTTTTTTAAAGTCACAAATAGTTTCTCTCTCTCCTCAAGGTAGAGTTTCTACGTTAGTTGGACATTCAATGTGTACATTAGCAGCAATTCTAGTGAATGAAACAATGGCTTTGTAAGTCAGATTAATAACACCCTTCCCTCATGCACAGGACAGGCACCACCTACTACTCGTTAACTAAATGCCATGCAAGTTAGAAAAATAGACTGAAAACCCACAAGACAGAGAAATCAAAGTTCGTCTCCAGAGAAGAGGTTGATTTCACTTCAATTTTTTATTTCATATTTTCTAAGATGTGGAAATAGCAACAAAAAAAACTTGAGAGCGGTAACCAAGACAACAGTCACAACATGAGCAGAGAGCCACTGAGGTTTTGAGTCCCTCTCTTACTCCATTTGCTAACCCAAACTGCCAGGTACAAGACAGACACTTGGTTTACAGTTTTCTGTTGCGGTCCTCTTACTTTGCGCCACGCGGGCGACCACGACGACTTACACGCGCCTGGTGTGTATGCCTGTTGTGTGTGTGCGTGTGTGTGTACCTGTAAGCGTGGGCCTGTGTGTCATGTGGCTCTCATGTCATTTGAAGCTGTCCCACTCCCCCACACAGTCCGCAGTTCTCCAGGCCCTCCCCACCCCTACTGCAGCACCCCCCATCCCAGAAAAGGTGGTCGCCTCGTGTGCATCCGGAGCTGCGCGCTGCAGTGGTTTATTCAAGACACTAGTGGGCTGGAAGCTAGCACCGCCGCCCCCTCCGACACAAAGGAAGAAAGAGGCACTGTATACGTCTCTTATAGTCTAAATCTATGGTTCAAGTCTGGTCTCAGCCTGTCCTTTTACAAGGCTGCCTGGGTGCACCCCTGGACCCTCCAAAGACCTAAAACAGGTTGAGGAAGGAGGGACACACACCTGACCCCCCCCCTCCTTCAGGCCTGCGATAAATATAGATGCCTCACCGTTGCGACCCGCCCAGGCTGCGTTGCGTTTTGTTACCTCACCCCCTCCCAGTTTAGTTTTTGTGGTTGCCAAATGTCTCAACTGTGCGCACACACAAAACACAACATACGCGTACACGCACGCACTTGACCCCGACGCTGTCCATTCTACTCGGAATTGAGGATCAAAGCGCCTTGAATTTCTTTGTTTGGCACCAGACTTTATTTTTTCTCCTCCCACGTTGGCCAGCCACCCCTCCTTTTCTGTTTCACTCATTTTACTCATCACTCCCTCACAGTCTGTTCTCTTCTTGGAACCAAAAAAATAAAAGAAACCTGGAAGAACCACCTCCACCATCTTTCTTCCTCAGGGAAACAAAAACAAAACTTAATGGAAAAACTCAAGTTTTTTTATTATTATTTTTTTTTTTTCAAATTCAAGGCACAATGTCTATCAATATTCCAATCTGTCTGTCTGTCTCCACTCCCAGGTACAGTGTGCGAACATCGCGTCAC